CCTCTAGGTTAGAGTAGGCTGCAAGTCCCTGGGGATTTAGGTACTTGCAAGTCCCTGGGGATTTAGGTACACTAGGTTAATTAAGGGTCATCACACCTGACCAAACATGATCTACCTATTTGTAGCTAAATATAAAATAAAGATGGTAACCATTCAGATTTATGCTCACATTTGAGAATACTGGGTGACAATGTGAGGGTTTTTTAGAGAAATAATAATGACGGAATCATAGGTTCATATCCTTACATGCTAAAAAAAAGCGTGACATCCTTCAATTATACAAAAATTTACCTAAATAAGCCAATTTATAGTCTGAACTGCACAGGCCCGTAAGGTGAATCAACATAAACCTATGTAGTGTACAGTATGTGGTGTATGTCAACTGACCTCGATATGGGCATGTGCAGTTGACAATGGCTTATTAAATCTGATGAAAAAAAAGGTAAAATAAAAACTAATATTGGTAACCTTGGCACTTCATCAATGATATATTTTATATTATATAATTTATTTTCAATTGGAAAAAATAATTCATAAGCCAATTTCCAAATGATAATTATATAAAACTAATAAAGTAATAAAATCATTGATATGCAGAGTGAATCTATATTAAAACTACAGAAGACATTGTAAACGACAACTCAGATTGATGTATTGCTTTTCAATAGCAACACAGACTTCTATGACTTTGATAATTTGAATCAAATGAATCTCAAATTGTACTGGAAAACTTTACTGGAAACTCAAATCATTGTCAATATATTTCATATTGCAAGTTATATAGTAGGACCTGAAAAAAATAGAGCCAAAAAAAAAAAAAGTTTGTGTTGGCCACATTTTGGAAAAAAATTTAAAAAATGGGTAGGTCGGTAGGAAAACTTTTTTTTTAAAACCAAAAATGTGGTTACGCTTAAAAAGTAGAAAATACCTGTACATAAATAATACAAAAATTTTGGATTCGCATCGCATACCACACACCAAAATAGGCTAGATCTTGGCCCCTTATCCTAGTCCATGGCTACAGTATTCCAGCCTTAAAAGCTCATAAAAAAAAAATTATTGTTGCTTGTAGTCAAAAAAAAAAAAAAAAAGCTAGAATGCCGACCCTGAATGGCCTAGTCATCAAGAATGCAGATTTGATCAACAATCAAAATGAGGTTGCTTATACACATCTAGATGTGTATAAGAGACAGGTATATATATATAATAATACAAAAATTTTGGATTCGCATCGCATACCACACACCAAAATAGGCTAGATCTTGGCCCCTTATCCTAGTCCATGGCTACAGTATTCCAGCCTTAAAAGCTCATAAAAAAAAAAATTATTGTTGCTTGTAGTCAAAAAAAAAAAAAAAAAAGCTAGAATGCCGACCCTGAATGGCCTAGTCATCAAGAATGCAGATTTGATCAACAATCAAAATGAGGTTGCAATACGTGTACATCTTATCAGTGTGAAGTATGGAAACGCCAAGATACCGTGCCTTGGAGATATTCGGGGGGGGGGGGAGGCATTTTGCCTCCTGTCGGACAGGTCTGGACCCTTTGTCCAAGTCCATGACTAGGTCGTTGGATCAAAAATTTTAAAAACATAGTAATTTGCCTATCCAAAAAATGTTATTTTGATTGCTAATCCTAATATTGTGGTCTAAAAAAAGCACAATTTGGACCACACTTTTAAGCCATAAAAACTTTCCCTGTGAACCTTACCAAGGTTTTTTTCCAGGCCCTCAACTGAGGCTCTAGTCAGCCCCTTCGTTTGGACCCCTCTGTCGGACATGTTGGATCCCTTCTCGGTAAATTTCTGGCGCATATATTTCTATAAGCATATACTAAACTAAAAATCAATTGAAAACATTTCAAAGAAAAACAAAATATGACTTAATTGTGAAAAACATGAGTTAAACAAGTTTATGTGTGCCATGTTAATAATCAAACTTTAAGTGAAACTTTAAAAATATCCTATATCTCAACAAGGTCATACTGGGGTTAACTGAATCACCTGGGGGTTCACAGAAACCTAGCATTCCTTGATGGCAGTTTTTTGATTGAAAATGTTTGATATGACATGTTGTATGGATGGTTTTCTAGAGGCTGACAGGTGAAGTATGACACTATTAGTAAACACATGTAACGTGTAGAAAGCACACTTTTTTTTTGTAATATAAAAGATTGAAGAAAATTACCTCAGCCCAAAGGAAGGAGCCTGGGTGTGTGTGCAACTACAGGTAACCTAGCATGTAGTGGTGCACACATCAGCCTTCAAACGATTTCCAAACTATAATGCCAGGTCGTCAATCGATGTAATTTTATAGAAAACATGACGTACGCGCCATGGATCACTTTTAATAATAATCCGTTCAGACTGTGACCGACAAACAGCAGACGGTGTCGGACATCTAGTGTTCACTGGGAGCAGAGGATTCATTGGATTCATTGAATAACGGTGCCGCTCTCAAATAAGCGCTGAACCAAACAATTTTTTTTTGCTTAGTGCCGCTCTTGAGAGTCGTGAGCAGGCTTATTCAAGATTATGCTATTGAATATTACACATCCCATACGTGAAGCCATAAAGGGCACCAACAAAATAAGTCATTCCCAACAACTATAGTGAAACACGGACAGACATACAGTATTTATTCTTAGATCATCATTACTTCCAGGTCATTCCCTAAACATCCAGGGTGAGAGTTTTTGTCTTGGCGACCACTGCCAGCGAGTTTAACGAGTGAACCCTGTCACTGAGAGTGAACGTGTTAAAGGAGGCATACCGGCATTATAGTAAAATATGAGCGGTGTACACATAATTCTAACTTGGACACAGCAAAAAAGACAAGGCAGATAGGCTTTATACCTCTTTCAGTCTAGCATCGCATTGTGATCTTGGTAGTAATTGCGGCACCCAATCGCAAAGTAAAATCGTGTGTTACCTGCTGCGATTGGGTGCTACAATCTTTATTACTCTCGATTTCCACAGGATCCGATCAAAACGAATTCCACAGGCACTGTTTGGCTGAGGTCAGTCAATATAGGCCTAGCCACCAGCCCTGCTGTAGAATGTAATGTTTGTTTGTGTTGGTCTGAATGCATTTGGAATAGTCAGTTTTGGATTTCCACTGATTACCACCGATTACATCACGACCAATCGCAACAGAGTGTAATCTGAATAGGGTATTAGAGTAGGTACAGGGTTTGTTGATGCTCACCAGTATGCCTTTCAGCAGCATTTGAATTCGTTCAATGAACAAGTTTGACGGTACCATATTTTGAATCCAATAAAACAAAAATGTTCAGGACAAAAAGCATAACGACTAGGCCTAGGCTAGGCGCCATCTATCTATTTATGGCTTGAAAGAAAATATGCCCGTGCTTAGCTAGTGTAGGGGGCTAGACTAGGCATATGCCCTACAATAGCCTAGAGCTATGAAAACAATTCAGATTATCAAAATCAATCGCATTCATTGTTGGTTTTGTTTGGCAAACAAACCAACATTTTAATTTAAAGCATAATTAAAAATATAAAATTTTCCCTAGTTTCTATCAACATGGGCATAATAATATAAACGGTCAAAAAGGCACATTAAGTGTAAAGCTACCTAATTAAGCTAAAGATCCATTCCGGTTTTGTGTGGGCACACTGCACAGCGCCAGCAC